TTTTTTGTATTTTTTTAGTAGAGACGGGTTTCACCTGTTAGCCGGATGGTCTCGATCTTCCTGACCTTGTGATCCCCCGTCTCGGCCTCCCAAAGTGGCTGGGATTAACAGGGCTTGAGCCACCGCGTTTTTTTTTTTTTTAATTTGGCAACAGAGTCTTACTCTGTCACCCAGGCTGGAATGCAGTGGCACGATCTCAGGTCACTGCAACCTCCGTCTCCCAGGCTCAACAAATTCTCCTGCCTCAGCCTGCTGAGTAGCTGGGATTGATTACAAGCGTGTGCCACCACGCCTAGCTAATTTTTCTATTTTTAGTAGAGACGGGGTTTCACCACGTTGGCCAGGCTGGTCTCAAACTCCTGACCTCAGGTAATCTGCCCGCTCCACCTCACAAAGTGCTGGGATTACAGGTGTGAGCCACCCCACCCAGCCAGTAAAATACAGCTGGTAAAATACTTTTTAAAGGAAAGATAGTATCTTAGCAGATTTAATCAATCCTGGAAACATGGTAGATGGTAGTTATTTGATTGAGAGAATTATAATCTTATTAAAGAGTATTTACAGTTTATCTTGAGAAAAGTTTGCCCTTGTCTTCTAGTACAAACAGATTTATGTATTAGTGTAGAAAATGCCTGCTTATGGTGTACGCAGTGGCTCACGCCTGTAATCCTAGCACTTTGGGAGGCCAAGGCAGGCGGATCACCTGAGGTCAGGAGTTTGAGACTAGCCTGGCCAACATGGCAAAACCTGGTCTCTAATAACAATACAAAAATTAGCCGGGCGTGCTGTTGTGCGTCTGTAATCCCACATACTTGGAAGGCTGAGGCAGGAGAATCACTTGAACCTGGGAAGCAGACGCTACAGTGGGCTCTGATTACGCCACTGCACTCCAGCCTCGGCGACAGGGTGAGACTCCGTCTCAGGAAAAAAAAAAGATAATGCCTTATTAGCACTTTGAGAGGCCAAGATGGGCAGACTGCAGGAGCCCAGGAGTTTGAGAACGTCCTGGGCAACACGGTAAAACCCTGTTTATACAAAACATAGAAAAATTAGGCGGGCATGGTAGCATTCTCCTGTAGTCCCAGCTACTTGGGAGGTTGAGGTGGAAGAATCAGCTGAACCCAAGGAGGTCGAGGTTGCAGTGAGCTGTGATCATGCCACCGCACTCCAGCTTGGGTGACAGAGTAAGATACTGTCTCAGGAAAAAAAACAAAACAAAACCCAGAGGCCAGGTGCGGTGGCTCATGCCTGTAATCCCAGCACTTTGGGAGGCCGAGGTGGGCGGATCACCTGAGGTCAAGAGTTCGAGACCAGCAGACCAACATGGAGAAACCCTGTCTCTGCTAAAAATACAAAATTAGCTGGTGTGGTGGCATATGGCTGTAATCCCAGCTACTGGGGTGGCTGAGGCAGGAGAATCACTTGAACCCGGGAGGCGGAGGTTGCAGTGAGCCAGGATCACGCCACTGCACTCCAGCCTAGACAACTTCGTCTCAAAAAAAAAAAAGAAAAAAAAACCCCAGAAAAATACCTGATTAAAAAAAAAATAGTAGAAAATTACGTAATACTTTTGAAAATATTCATGTTAATGTACTATTTGTTAAGTTTACTTATTTATTTATTAAGTCTGTAGTTTTTTCTTTTGCATTGTGTAACTTCAATATGATGTGTAAAACATTTATTTCTTTTATGTAGATGACAACCCGTGTTGATGGTCATTCCTGGGCTCTTTCTGCGATAGATGAATTGAAAGTAGATAAAATAATTACACCCTTAAACAAGGATCATATTCCAATAACTGATTCACCAGTTGTTGTACAGCAGCACATGTTACCTCCGAAGAAATTTGTTCTCCTCTCAGCACAGGTATGTACGTATTCTGTTAAGGTAGTGACAAAAATAAGCAATATATAATATTTTTGTCAAGTACTCTGAAGTAGTGGCTTAATGGAATCATATCATTTTCTTTTTTTTTTTTTTGAGACGGGATCTCACTCATCACCCAGGCTGGAGTGCAGTGGTGTGATCTCAGCTCACTGCAACCTCTCTGCCTCCCTGGATCAAGTGATTCTCCTGCCACAGCCTCCTGAGTAGCTGGGATTACAGGCGCACGCCACCACACCTGGCTAATTTTTGTATTTTTAGTAGAGACGGGGTTTCACCATGTTGGCCAGGCTGGTCTCAAACTCCTGATCTCAGGTGGTCCACCTGTCTTGGCATCCCAAAGTTCTGGTATTACAGGCGTGAGCCACTGCACCCAGCCTTCCTGGTTTGTTATTTGACTTTGTTTATTGAGATTTTTCCCAGCACACAAGCTTGTAAGTAATCAAAATTATCAGTTATTTGATGTTTTATTTTATTTATTTTATTTTATTTTAGACAGGGTCTTACTCTCACCCAGGCTGGAATGTGGTGCACAGTCTTGGCTTACTGCAACCTGTGCCTCCCAGTCTCAAGGAATCCTCCCACATCAGCCTCCTGGGTAGCTGGGATTACAGGCTTTTGCCACCACACCCGGTTAATTTTCGTATTTTCTGTAGAGACAGGATCTCACTAAAGCCCAGGCTGGTCTCAAACTCCTGAGCTCAAGCTATCCACCCACCTCATCCTCCCACAGTGCTGAGATTATAGGCGAGAGCTAATCTACCCAGCCATCATTTGAAATATGTCATAGTTGAAAAACTTCCTCTTGCTAAGGTTTATAAAAGAATCCACTCGTAGTTCCTTTTGTTTATTGATTGGTGCAAAAACAGTTGAGGTTTTTGCCATTGATTGTAATGCCATTACAATCAATGCTTTTGTACCAACTGAATACTCAATTGCTTTTGTACCAACCTAATACTATGATGCTTTTGTACCAACCTAATTGGTACAAAAAACCTCAATTGCTTTTGTACCAACCTAATACTATGATGGTTTTATTTTATTCTTTAAGTCGTTTGATCTATTTGGAATTTACTCTGGTATAAGATATGACTATGTTTTTAGCTTTTTTTTTTGTCTAAATTGATACAAATAGTAGCAACCTGATTAATTAATAATCTAATTGTAATTCTCTGGTTTCAGGGGCAGCTTTGCAGGGGCAATTGCATTAAGTTTTCTTCATAGATACATAGATCTACTGGAGGTTGAGTTGAGATGTAGATGATCCTTTTGACCAGTTGTACTTTTTATATCACGTCAGCCAGTCCTCCTGCCTCAGCCCCCTGATGCGCTGGAAATACAAATGTGGGCCACCATACCCAGCCTACTTTGTATTGTTGAAGGGGTTTTTTTTTTGTTTGTTTCATTTATTTTATCAAATAAGGTAGCAGGGTCTGTTGCTATCAGCCAATCTTGGTAAATCTCTTTTTCATGTTCTTTCTTCAAATTTCTTAGGGGAGCCTTATGTTTCATAAACTTAGACCTGTAGATCAACTGAGGCATCTACTTGTGAGTAATGTGGGTGGAGATGGAGAAGAGATTGAAAGATTCTTTAAATTACATCAGGTAATTATATATACTTTTTAAAAATGTGATGCTATTTTAATCAAACAGTGGGAGTCATAGTTTATGTATATTGGGACTGGAATACTGTAATAAATAGATTTTTTTTTTTGAGATTGAGTTTTGCTCTTGTTGTCCAGGCTGGAGTGCCATGGCGCGATCTTGGCTCACCGCAACCTCCGCCTCCCAGGTTCAAGCGATTCTCCTGCCTCAGCCTCCCTAGTAACTGGGATTACAGGCATGTGCCAGCACGCCCGGCTAATTTTGTATTTTTAGTAGAGACGGGGTTTCTCCCTGTTGGTCAGGCTGGTCTTGAACTCCCGACCTCATGTGATCCACCAGCCTTGGCCTCCCAAAGTGCTGGGATTACAGGCATGAGCCACTACGCCCGGCCATAAATAGATAATCTTAACAATATTCCTTTCTTTGCCTCAGTCACTGTATGTGAACTGACATTTGAAAGCAGGATTAATATAAGTCTTGTAGTGAGCTTTCAGATTTTTATTCTCTGTTGTTGATAATTTTTTCTTTTTTTTTGAGACATAGTCTCGCTCTGTCTCCCAGGCTGGTGCAGCGGAGCGATCTCAGCTCACTGCAAGCTCCGCCTCCCAGGTTCACACCATTCTTCTGCCTCAGCCTCCCAAGTAGCTGGGACTACAGGCACCTGCCATGACGCCTGGCTAATTTTTTGTATTTTTAGTAGAGATGAGTTTTCACTGTGTTAGACAGGATGATCTCGATTTCCTGACCTCAGGATCCGACTGCCTCGACCTCCCAAAGTGCTGGGATTACAGGCATGAGCCACCATGCCCGGCCTGTTGTTGATAAATTCTTATTGAAGTCTACTAGTAAGTTTCTTGTTCAGGTTATACGATAAATGCCTTTTCATTAAAAGCACAAGACATTTAGGGACAAGTTCTTTTTTGTTTGTTTGTTTTGGCTTAATGACCTGAGGAAGAAACTTGAGGCAACAGTGTAGAGATCTTAGTATTTCAGAGCCATAACTGGAATTGATATGGTTAAAATTGGGATAGTTCAAAGTTAAGTATACAGACCCTGGATTCAAAGCACCTGTGTTAAAAATCCCAGCTCCACCACTGAGGTAAATTACTTGACTTCTCTGGGCTTCAGTTTCCTTATACATTATAATAGTATGTGTTATGAGGATTAATATATGCTAAACTCTTAAAATAGTACCTGACACATGGTAGGTATTCAAAGTTACCAATTATTGTTATTTTCTAGAAAGTAGAAAGACCACAGGAAGAAAATTGGAGACATAAGGTGGAAACTAACTCAGAATCTAGGTAAAAAGGAAAAGAGAGCATTCTGTAATCCTAGTGCTTTTGATGAACTTAAAATAAAACCAGTAGTGTTTACTTGTCTTTTTAACACTAACTGATTTCATTTAGTCAGCAAGTATTTATTGAACGCCTGCTCTGTGCTAGATACAGACTTTAATATTGCATCTAGCAGTATACAAATCATTTTAAAAGTTTATATTTAATATAAGGCCAATATTCCTCTTTTTACAGGAAGACCAGGCTTGTGCTACTTGTCTTATTCTTGCTTGCTCCACTGCTGCCTGTGACAGAGAAGTATCTGCCTGGGCTACTCGGGCTTTCTTTAGGTATATGAAAGGTTTTTTGTTTATTTGTTTTTTTTTTTTTTACTGGGCCACTTTTTAAAATGATCTTATTATCAATGTGATAAATTAAAGCCTTGCCAAACAGTTGAGTGACTATGTAGGCAAATTACCAAAATTCATTTCAAAAGCTGAAATCTGGAGAGATTATAATGGTAATAGAAGCAACTAAATTAGCATAGTTTATGCATTATTACTTTAACTCTGGATTCTGTTCTGTAACTTCTTGTCTACTTTCTATACTTTGTTCTACCTCAGTTACTGTCTCATCTATCTTTTTTACTTCCCCAAACACTATGCCAATTCTGCTTAATATGTATCATTAGTATTGAAGGCTTCTGAATTATTTTAAGGAAACTTGGTACCAAAGAGATACTTCTATTTAGAAAATATTTAAGAATTTGAAATGTGATTTTGTTAGAAATGTTTTTTGAAATACTATCTAACCATAACCTAGTGCGAAAATTATAATGCCATTTACTCACAGAGTAAATTCTATGCATTGCATATCTTTTTCTTAGAAGTTATCGGAGTCCCTTATAATTCTTCCTGGTAGCAATTTCAAGTCCATATTTACTGAATAAATATTATAAGTCTTATGCATATATTTTACTGTCAGCACAATACGTTAAAGTCTGTAATGTTTAAAGCATTTATTTGGAAGCTAAGCAGGAAAAGGAACAATTCCAGTTTTTAAGATGGATAGTTTGTTTTACTGAATAAATTCAACCTCTTGTCATAAAAATAGGTATGGTGGTGAAGCACAGATGAGATTTCCAACCACTCTTCCGCCTCCAAGTAATGTTGGTCCCATCTTGGGGTCTCCTGTCTATTCTAGTGAGTATGAAACATTGAAATGAAATTGTTTCTAATCGTTTGAATCTTAGAACCTTTATAGCAATTTTTGTCAATAAACCTTTTCGTTATGTTTTATTTACTGCTACTGTATAATTGATGAATATATCTGTAGATTCTGATTCTTAAAAGTGATCTATTAATATTGAATCCTTAACATAAGGAAGCAAAATAAGATGTAACCAATCATATTTACGTAACTCATTTGGTGTATATTCAGAGGGGAACAGATGAATGATTTAATAGTAATTAACTCCCACATCAGTGTTTTCCAAGGTGGGAGTTGTTAGAAACTTACTAGGAGATGAGTCCCTAATTCTTGCATATATCATGGACAATGTAAGTCCTTTTTATGCTTATAAGTAGCTTCTGTGGCCAGGCGCAATGGCTCACACCTGTAATCCCAGCACTTTGGGAGGCCGAAGTGGGCGGATCACCTGAGATTGGGAGTTTGAGACCAGCCTGACCAATATGGTGAAACCCTCTCTCTACTAAAAGTACAAAAATTAGCCGGCCTGTGGTGGCGTAAGCCTGTAATCCCAGCTACTCAGGAGGCTGAGACGGGAGGATCACTTGAACCCAGGAGGCAGAGGTTGCAGCAAGCCGAGATAATGGCACTGCACTCCAGCCTGGGCCACAGAAAGAGACCCTGCCTCAAAAAAAGAAAAAAGAAATACCTTCTGTATCTAATTTGATCACATTCAAAAGATTGAGATGTTCTTTTCTAAATCTTTATATTCTTCTTTCCCTTTTTAGGTTCTCCTGTTCCTAGTGGTAGTCCCTATCCAAATCCATCCTTTTTGGGAACACCATCTCAGGGTACCTCTTTTCTTTGTTTTGGATTGCTTCTACTGCTCATTTTGAAGTGCTGACATTATGAGTTATCCTTAATGCTTAGTGTGAAAAAGATGAACTTGCCTTATTCCCTTGAAAATAAATATACGCTATCCAACCAAGTTTTAGCATTTGGATGTGAATGCCTTTATTTAGGAAGAACTCCTCTTATAATATGCCTGGAAAGGCCATTATTTGGGTTCCAGGATTAAATTGGACCCTAAAATCTGTGTAATTAGTTCTGTTTCACTGTCAGCATTACAAGCAGTTATTGCAAGTTTGTTTCCTTTTCGTTCTGCATTGTGAACACTGGCAAGTCTACCTGGGAGTATCCATGCACATATAAATCTCTCTTATTAAGGAAAACCAAATTAAATATCTATGTATTTCATTATTTTTGTAAATACCTTTGTGTCTAGATAGATACGCAAACTTGGATTATTGAGAATTCTGAATTTTATGGGTTCTGTTTTTAAGATATTTGTTTTTCTTATGTGTGTACAAGGTATACAGCCTCCTGCCATGTCAACTCCAGTGTGTGCTCTGGGAAACCCAGCAACTCAGGCCACAAATATGAGTTGTGTGACTGGACCAGAGATTGTGTATTCTGGAAAACACAATGGTATTTGCATTTACTTTTCTCGGATCATGGGGTAAGTTTGTCATGAAATAATGAACTATTGCTCACCTTGCCCCATCTTGAGTAGTTAATTTTTTTTTTTTTTTTTGAGACGGAGTCTTGCTCTGTCGCCCAGGCTGGAGTGCTATGGCGCAATCTCGGCTCACTGCAAGCTCTGGTTCCCGGGTTCACACCATTCTCCTGCCTCAGCCTCCCAAGAAGCTGAGACTACAGGTGCCTGCCACCACGCCCGGCTAATTTTTTGTATTTTTTAGTAGAGACGGGGTTTCACCATGTTAGCCAGGATGGTCTCGATCTCCTGACCTCATGATCCACCCACCTCAGCCTCCCAAAGTGCTGGGATTACAGGTGTGAGCCACTGTGCCCAGCCTAGTTAAATATTTTTAACTCTGAATTTGGGATGTCATTTATTCCTATTAAATTTTATTTTTAGCTCACTTTTCGTCAATAAAACTTTTCTATTATTCAGTTTTTATTATCTAACTATACTCATTGCTGTGTTTTATTTCTCTCACTGTCTCATGATCCGTGTTTGTGTGTGTGTATCGTCAAAATACAGTTGTTCCTCAACACGGGTTAGGGGATGCCAACCACCCTTCCTCAGCCTTCATGTAGTCAGAAATTCATGTACAACTTTCAACTTTCTTAATTACTAATAGCCTACTGTTTAGCAGCCTCACTGATAAGTAATCAATTAACACGTATTTTGTATGTTTTTTGTGTTTTCTTTTTTTAACTTTTGCATGATGTAGGAGTGTGGGGGAGTCTAGTAAAAACCAGAAAACCTCCTAGACAAATTCTAAAACAGATGTGACACTGATATTTTGTGTTATATGTATTATACACTATACTCTTACCATAAAGTAAGCTAGAGAAAAAAATTAAGAAAATCATAAGGAAGAGAAAATATATTTACTATTCATTAAGTGGCAATGGATCGTCATAAAAGTCTTCATCCTTGTCTTCACGCTGAGTAGGCTGAGGAGTAGAAAGAGGAAGGGTTGGTTTTGATGTATTGGGGTAGCATAGGTGGGAAAAAATCTGTGTATATGTGGACCCACACAATTCAAGCCCATATTGTTCAAAGGTCAACTGTATGTCTATATACATATTAATGTACAATGTTACAAACTTCCCCATAACTCAGTGACATGTGTCTACAGTTCAACAGGGCAGTTCTGTCTTGCTGGGCTAACTCAAGGATAGGCAATCAGTTGTAAAGTTAAAGAGAGCTCTGCTTATCTTGGCTAGACTCTCACATGTTCAAGGTTATGTTTTCCAGCTGGTCTAGAATGGCCTAAGCTGAAACAGCTTAGTGGTTCTCCACATGGTTTCTCATCCTCCAGCAGGCCAGCCAAGGATTATTTAGTTGGTGGTGGCAGGGTTCCTTGAGAAAGAGTAGACACTTGCAAAACCTTTATCCTAGGCTCAAAACTGGCTTACCACTCACTTTTCCACCTTACTCGACCAGAGGGAAGTCACAGGGCCAACCCAGATTTAAAAGGTGGGAAATAGACCACTTTTAGGGGAGAGACGTCAAAATCATACTGCAAAGGGGATAGATATAGGGAGGGATAAAGAAATGTGGTTGTTTTTGCAATCAGTCTGTCATATTATCTTAGCTATCGTGCCTAATATATATTTCTCTCAGATTTGAGATGTATGATTTCATTCATCTCATTTGCTTAAAAGTATGAAACAGAACAGAACCCCTTTATACATTTCCTGTTTATAATTTATTATACAGAGCCTTTTGATTTTTCTTAAGTAATATTTCATTATCTGAAAAACTTAGGTACATCAGGTATGAAAATTTTCTAGTATTCCATTCTTCTAGATAGCTTAGTAAAATGTTAAATGAAACCACTGCAAGTTTTAAAAACTGAATAAAGCCATTAAGTTCCTAGAGAGAGAAATTTATTGTAATTCTTTTTATTTATTTACAGCATAATCATTAAAACATTTTTTGTTCCAGAAACATTTGGGATGCAAGCTTAGTTGTGGAGAGAATATTCAAGAGTGGCAACAGAGAGATCACTGCAGTAAGTCTGTATAATATTACTCTGTTATTTTTGTGTAGCCAGTTGATGGTATAAATGGTTAGATTGTTTCGCATTTGTTGATATTACACAAATAAGATGGCAAAGGTTATTCTTTTTTTTTTTTTTTTTTTTTTGAGTCAGGGTCATGCTCTGTCACCCAGGCTGGAGTGCAGTGGCCCAATCTCAGCTTACTGCAACCTCTGCCCTCTGGGGTCAAGTGATCCTCCCACCTCAGCCTCCTGAGTAGCTGGGATTACAGGCGTGCGCCACCATGCCTGGGTAATTTTTGTATTTTTAGTAGAGATAGGATTTCACCATGTTGCCCAGGCCAGTCTCGAACTCCTAGACTCAAGTGAACCACCTGCCTTGCTTCCCAAAATGCTAAGATTATAGGCAGGGGGCCCCAGCGCCTGGCAGGTTATTCTTTTATGTACATGTTTGCGTTCTTGAACAGCAAACTGCTTACCTTCAGGTTTAAATCTCATCTCTAACATTGATTGTCTGAATATCAGTAAATTACTTAACATTTCAGAGCCTGATACCTCATGGTAAAAGAAGGGGAGTAGTATATCTCCCTCATAAGGTGTCATGAGGGATAATTCCAGAAACTTAATATTGTTCAAAATTTACTACGTAATACTTTGACATATATATGAACAAAAACTCCATGGACCCAGCACTAATTTCCATGAATTGGCATACTTTACAGACTGCTTTTTGCTCTTGTTGCCCAAGCTGGAGTGCAGTGGCGGAGTTTCGCTCTTGTTGCCCAAGCTGGTGTGCAACGGCACAATCTCGGCCCACTGTAATCTCCGCCTTCTGAGTTCAAGCGATTCTCCTGCCTCAGCCTCCCGAGTAGCTGGGATTACAGGCGCGCGCCACCATGTCCAGCTGATTTTTTGTATTTTTAGTAGAAACAGGGTTTTACCATGTTAGCCAGGCTGGTTTCGAACACCTGACCTCAAATGATCTGCCCGCGTTGGCCTCCCAAATTGCAGAGATTACAGGCGTGAGCCACTGTGCCCAGCCCAAATATATTTTTTAATTGTGAGGCTCTTAAAGTTCATGAGTTGGGCACAGAGGCCGGTGCCTGTAACCCCAGTGCTTTGGAAGGCTTGAGCCCAGGAGTTCAGGACCAGCCAGGGCAACATGGCCAGATCCCTTTTCTACAAAATAAAATAAGTTTAAAATTAGTCAGATGTAGTGGCATGTGCTGGTAGTTCCAGCTAATTAGGAAGCTGAGACAGGAGGATCACTTGATCTTAGGAGGTCAAGGCTGCAGTAAGATATGATCCGCACCACTACACTCCAAGGCAACAACAAGACCCTCTCTCTCAAAAAAAAGAAAAAAAGTTCAAGTTTCTAAGAATAAGAATGTATTTGCCTAACACAGTATGTGATTCCATTTATATGAAGTTTAAAAACTTGTAAAATTAATCTATGTTGATAGGACTAAGAAAAGTAGTTACCTCAGAGGTGGGATGACTCATGGCTACAAAGGAACATGGGAAACTTTCTTTGGTGTTGGAGATTTTCTGTATTGTGGTCTAGGTAATGACTATACAGAAATATATAAAAGTAATCAAGATATTTTCTTAATATTTGTATTTTACTGTAAATTATGCATCAGTGTTACTGGCAGGAGAGGAAGTATGTAAGCATTATTTGGATCAACAGGTGTGAATTGATGCAAGAAATAACTTTATTTATAATTTATAGAGATAGTCATTTCAAAATTAAAATTGTTTATATTATAGCTATACAGAGGGTGTGTTTTTAAACTTTTGAAAATTCTTTCATTTTTACAGATTGAAAGTAGTGTTCCCTGCCAACTGCTAGAGTCAGTGCTACAAGAACTAAAGGGTTTGCAGGAATTTCTAGACAGAAATTCCCAGTTTGCAGGAGGACCATTAGGAAATCCAAAGTAAGAATATATAAGGTTTATTAATTCATCTTTTTCTTTTCGTTGTATTTTTTGTTGAGATAATTTGCATACTATAAAGTTGGTCCTTTTAAAGTGTCCAGTTTAGTATTTTTAGTGTATCTACAAGGTTATGCAACCATCACCACTGTCTAATTCCAGAACATTTTCATCACACCGAGAAGAAACTGTGCCCATGACCAGCCATTATTCATGGACCTTCCCCCAGTCCCTGGCAACCACTAATCTTTCTGTCTCCACAGATCTGCCTTTTCTGAATATTTATATAAATTGGAATATTTATATAAATATTTATATAAATGGAATATTTATAGTATACAATGTAATATATAAATATTTATATGAATATACTTATGTAAATGGAATATTTCTATAAATTTTATATTTACATAAATGGAATATTTATACAAATGTTATATTTATATAAATGGAATATTTATACAAATGTTATTTTTAAAATGGAATGTTTCTATATTTTTTTAATGGAATATTTCTATATTTATAAAAATGGAATATTTGTAGAAATATTTATATAAATGGAATATTTATAGAAACATTTATATAAATGGAATATTTATAGAAACATTTCTATAAATGGAATATTTATAGAAACATTTCTATAAATGGAATATTTATAGAAACATTTCTATAAATGGAAGTATGCAACAGATAACCTTTGGTGTCTATTTCTTTCCCTAAGCATGTTTTCCGGGTTTAACTGTTGTAGCATGTATTACTACTTTGTCTCATTTCTCAGTGTATCAGTTGATAGATATTTGTGTTATTTCACCTTTTTGGCTAATAAGAGTGCTGATATGAGCATTCCTGTACAAGTTTTTGTGTGGACATGTGTTTACATGGACTCTTGCTCTGTCGCCTAGGCTGGAGTACAAAGGCTTCATCTTGACTCACTGCAACCTCCACCTCCCAGCTTGAAGCAATTCTCCTGCCTCAGCCTCCAAGTAGCTTAGATTACAGATGTGCACCACTATGCCCGGCTAGTTCTTCTTTGTATTTTTAGCAGAGACAAGGTTTCACCATGTTGACCAGGCTGGTCTCGAACTCCTGACCTTGTGATCCACTGGCCTCAGCCTCCCAAAGTGTTGGGATTACAGGTGTGAGCCACAGCGTGCAACCAAGAATGGACATTTGGAGTTTTTTTGAGACAGCGTATCACTCTTGTCGCCCAGGCTGGAGTGCTGTGGTGTAACCTCGGCTCACTGCAGCCTCCCCCTCCTGGGTTCAAGCGATTCTCCTGCCTCAGCCTCCTGAGTAACTGGGATTATAGGCGCCTGCCACCATGCCCAGCTAATTTTTGTATTTTTAGTAGAGATGGAGTTTCACTGTGTTGGCCAGGCTGGTCTGTTTTTCTTTTTTTTTTTTATTTGAGACGGAGCCTCGCTCTGTGGCCCGGGCTGGAGTGCAGTGGCCGGATCTCAGCTCACTGCAAGCTCCGCCTCCCGGGTTTAGGCCATTCTCCTGCCTCAGCCTCCCGAGTAGCTGGGACTACAGGCGCCCACCACCTCGCCCAGCTAGTTTTTTGCATTTTTTAGTAGAGACGGGGTTTCACCGTGTCAGCCAGGATGGTCTCGATTTCCTGACCTCGTGATCCGCCCCTCTCGGCCTCCCAAAGTGCTGGGATTACAGGCTTGAGCCACCGCGCCCAGCCTAGGCTGGTCTTAAACTCCTGACCTCAGGTAATCCACCATGCCCAGCAAGAATGGATTTTTTCTTTTCTTTTCTTTTCTTTGTTTTTTTTTTGAGATGGAGTTTTGCTATGTCACCCAGCCTGGTGTGCAGTGGTGTGGTCTCGACTTACTGTAAGCTCCGCCTCCCGGGTTCACGCCATTCTCTTGCCTTAGCCTCCTGAGTAGCTGGGACTACAGGCGCCTGCCACCACATCTGGCACATTTTTTGTATTTTTAGTAGAGACGGGGTTTCACCATGTTAGCCAGAATGGGCTCCATCTCCTGACCTCGTGATCTGCCCACCTCGGCCTCCCAAAGTGCTGGGATTACAGGCGTGAGCCACCATGCGCGGCCAAGAATGGATATTTTTAAGCCTCTAAAATAATACAGACTTTTTGTTGAAAAAATAATAATCACATTGCATTCGGGGAGTCACATCACTCCTTACAATTGTAACGGGTTATTAGAGTATAATCTTTTTAAAGCATATATAGACTGGGCAGAGTGGCTCACATCTATAATCCCAACACTTTGGAAAGCCAAGGCAGGAGGATTGCTTGAAGCTGGGAGTGTGAGACCAGCCTGGGCAATATAGGTGACCTTGTCACTACAAAAACATATAAATAGGCCAGGCGCGGTGGCTCATGTCTGTAATCCCAGCACTTTGGG